TTGCTGTATTTAGTCTCGTTTCTGTAAATCTTTGTAAAGGTCTGTCAACCATTGTTTGAAGGGTTCCTTGCTGGCCTGCGAGTTCCTGCTCCAAAACGCCGCTGATGTCAATCAAAGAGATGCGAGAGGGCGGGGCCCCCTGCATCACGCCACCTATCTGGGCCACACAGGGTGAGTCCAAATTTAGTGCTAGCCTGCTAGCGAGGCGGAATGCCTCGCTGGCGGAACACCATCACTTCTACTTGGCTCTTTGCCTGTGGAAAACCAAACACGTTCTTCCTAAGAACTTGTGAAGCACCAGCTAAGCGCAGCGCTGGCGCTGAATGAGCACCAAGTTTTTTGGGGGGTGTGGAAAAGGGGTATCCTTCACCTCAGCTTGCCTGTGTGCTTTCAGGCAGGTGTGTTTATTCCTAAAACGAGGCGCCGCCCAGAACGACGGCGATGAGGATGGCCACGACCCGTTGAGCATTGCGGTGCAGCAAGCCAATGCTGACATCGTCACACTGTACGTTTTTTGGCTTTGTTTTGTTTGAAAGCCGACCCGTCTTGCAAGATTTGGGAGCGATGGAATGAATAGTGAATAGCCCCAAACCGGATTTCCATTTCTTTTATTCAACAATTAGTTGATTAATGAGTGTGTACATAATTGATTTGAACACTGGTCAACAAATGTTCACGACATTTTTTAGTCGGAGTGGTAAGTGAAATTATTAATTTTTTTCAGCCGATTCCAAATTTTCCCTGTTTTTATTTCTCTAGCACATCAAGTTTTAATAACAATGATATCATATGTAATACAGCATACTAATATTTATGAATTAAGGATTAGCTTCAGCAACAGGTGGAATTTTTTGGGGGGAAACAACATAGCTATAAATTACAATGCAGGGTATTATTGGTTTTGCACATGCTTTTACATTTTCAATTTTGAAACCAAAAAAAGAAAATATCTCAAAAACCTGATGTGCTTGAAAAAAAAGGTACGACTTTTTTTATCATACTTGAGGGACACATTAAGCCATCTCTGATTAAAATTAGCTGTTGACCAGTAATTAAAACTTCAAATGACCTATTTTACTTGCGCGCTTTGGTTTTGGCCCATCCGTCCTTTTTAAAACTCAAACGCAGCCCTCGAGCACAAAAAGTTTGTATTTCATTTCAGTTGTGCCTTTCATGTTAAATCCACTGCTGTTGTTGTTGTTGCTGCTGCTGCTTAGGTTGCGTCTGGCCAGGATGAACGAGGAGATGCGCGAGTCGGAAGGAGGCTTCGCCCAAGCAGGTCAAAGCAATGAGCGGCATTTCAAGCCGGCCATTCACAACTTGATGTGCTCAACTATCGCATGGTGCTAAGGTGCTGAGGTCATGCACGCATGCATGAGGTGCATGTGGAGGGGCTGCGAGGTTGTCGGGATCATTTGTAAAATGTTAAGTGTTCTGAACTTCTCTATCCACGATATTGCTTCACTTCCTCTAGCCTCACATTGCAATTGGCACTTTTTTTCCACCCACAATTTCATTTCCCAATTATCTTAAAGCGGGCATATTGTGGAAATTAGTCTTTGACATTTTTTAATTTTAAATGTGTCTCTGGAGTGCATTTCCACCCATCAAGAGTGAAATGAAACAAGTCTTTTTTTTTCTTTAGTTATTGCCCTAATTTTGAAAATGTATTCCAAGCAAGCCCTCATGCTGCTACTTCTGCCCCACCGTTACCAAACAGATAATATTCACATGCATATATTCTTTATCCTCAGGAAAGAATGAGTAATATTACTGCAGCTTACTGAGGAGCGGTGACTATCTTCACGTATACCTGTATGTCTGTTCTATACTGACCCAGGTGCCTAAGACGTGCAGACCAGACGTAGCAGCACAATTTCCATTGAACTGAAGCAAAAAAAAAAAAAAAGTTGCAAAAACTCATTTGTTCCACACTGTGTAATTCTATACATTTCATTTGGTAATCGCTCATGCATGGTTTTATGGAGTGCGATATTGAATAGTTTTTTTTTAGCATTTTTTTGGGGCAGGGGGGCTTCTAGGCAACATTAATGCCATCTACATTCATGAAGGGTGATTTGAGACACCCGTGTTTTGAGTTACAGCCGTCACAGACGGATTAAACTCGTATCTCAAGCCACCAACCGTATGTATGTGTGTATTTTTGTAGGACAGCGGGTTTGCACAGGTCCCCCAAAACATACTTCTTGGAAGGGTTTTGGGGGAGAATCTCTAAACAGTGACTGGACAAAAACTCCGCCAAAGAATAATCATGCATACTCAACAGAAGTCATCCAGCGGTCAGAGGGTGCCTGGAAACGCTTCCTTTTGACATTGTAGGGCCTCTCTCATGTATCCCTTCTATTTGGATTTGGGAAGTGAAATGTCCTCATTTGACCGTGGCGACAGGAAACAGTGTGTGGACTATGCTGACGGGAATACAATGAAAGGAAACTCTTCTCTCTCCCACATTCAGACAGTCGGAGAGGTTCATTGTTTGTTTTTTAATTGAGCCTGAGAACACAGAGGTGACACAAAAGATACAGTGTGGTCGGACCGAGTCGTTGCCGTGACTACCGTTCGGTGTCGAGAAAAGGCTTTGGTGCTCATTAACATTCCGCTCCGCCGCCCCCATCCGGTGTTTGCATCCTCATCCTCGGCTGTGGTTCTTCCTCAGGAGACGCCACGTACCTGGACATCTTCCGAGAATTCTCACACATGGCGTCCCACAATCCCGAGAAGCTGAAGAGGAGGAGCGTGCACTTCAGGCACTCCTTCAGGTAGCCAAGCCAGGGGACCACCGATCTATCCGGACAAAAAAAAAAAAAAATCAACCCATGTTGTTTTTCTCCTATTCTTGTTTTTATGACACATACTTTTTGCTTGGTGCTTTCTTTTGTCCACAAGGATTTGCAGGTCTTATCCTCGGATGGATCTTTTTTTTTTTTGTTTTTACAAACGCCAAGCACTTGCTTTGGAAGTGCAGTCGACTGTTCTTCAAAATCAGTCATATTCCATTCAGCCTATTCGCTTACGGCAACCTAGACAGCAGGGATTTTTCAAACTTTTCGGGTCCCTTGACCACTAACAGAAGACATTTTCCACATAACTACCAAGTGTAAAGGGCTTCCTGTAAATTTCCATGGGGAGTTCAGATGGGAAATTTCCTTCTTTATTCCCATTCAAGGCACCATCTGGCTGGCATGGTTCATTGTTCAAGAGCAAGCTAAATTATTATGATTATTATTTTTTATCAGAAAATTATATGACCTTGCATTTTTAATTTTATCAAGTTGTTCGGGAGAAATCAGTAAATAATCAACTACAGTACTCTTAAAATGCCTTGTCTGCAATATAGCGCCCCCTCCTCTTCCTATGTCTTGGTGGGAGTCGGGAAAGGAACTGGACAAAATGTGTCCTTTCAAAATCATTGCACAAACTTCGCAGACAGTTACCAAAAGCGGCGATCAATTGGCACCAAAATGTATGTGGACATCTTTCCCCATGCCCACTTCAACCTCTGAAAATATGACAAGGATTAGACTCTCAATGGCGGACTCAAAAGAGAGTGAGAAAACGAGCATCTTGCATTTTCTTTCTTGCCAGATTTGCTTTCTTTGATAAGTCCCCAAGATATGAAGACAATGCCTTCCGAGAGGCTTTTCGTGAGATGAATTGTGCATCGGTCATTTTCTAATCTATGATGCTGAGCTTCGTCTTTGTCG